AAAAAAAAAAAAAAAAAAAAAGAAATGAAAAAAAAATGTACGAAACAAAAAATATGAAATATTTACGAATTCGATCATCGATTTTATCAAGAAAAATATACAACTACAGTTGAGATAATTTCGGGAAGCACAGATGTGATAGGTAAAATCTATAATGTTAATACCAGCTTTATAGAGTGCAGTTTTACCGAGAAATTTACCTTTACGCATTGTTTAATCTACGATTTGAATCATTTCGATTTGTACGCGGACAATTTTCTGTCACTCAATGTCAGATCTGCTTACCTCAACTAGGGATCAAGGAGAAAAAAAAGAGAGTAGGAGGAAACCGCCAAAAAGTTGTCAGCAAGCAGACAAAGAAGTTGTGTCTATGTCATTGTATGCCTTTAAACGGTGAGATTATCATTGTTCCCGATATTTATCTACGTTTTTTGTCGTATTCCCTTTCCTGCAAAAAGGATCTCTCTTTTTCGTACCGTTCATCTCTTTACCGCCTTTCTAGTACCACGAAAAACGAAATTCCAGGGCGTAGCCACATTTTTCGAATTGACAAATAAAACGGACAATGAAAAGTTTTCTGAAGCTTATTCGTCGAGCAGAATAAGTCTATTTAACCACCGGTAAAACCTTTTTCGATTCGTTTCGTCTCGTCTTGTATGCCGATAGACGATTTTCGAGTTTCTTTCAGGAAAATCGATGTAAATCTGATGCTCGTATTCTATTTTTGACACGCATTTTTAAACAGATTATAATCGTACATGATGCTTTTATGTGAATTAGCCATTTGAATATGAATATAATTATAATCGAATATAATTATAAGATCGTGTTTCGTATTTATATTAATGTTTTGATAAATTGATAAATTCATAACAAAAATAAGTTAAGAAACTAGAGTATATTGTAAATCTTTTTTTTTTTTTTTCAAATATTGTAATATCTTTAATTTTTTATCAATAATATATAAATTTCCAAACAAAGCAAATTCATTTGACATAACTTGGATATTATCTATAAGTAGAAAGTTCAAAAGTAATCAGAGAATTTAGAAGCAACTACTCAGTGTAGGTCACATTTTGTAAAAATAATTACATTAAAAAATCTCTTTATTGTTCACATTTTCTATTAACAAATCAATTATTATTTCACTTTATAATATTAACTTATCAATTGATAATTTAAATAATAAAAAAATTTTTAAACATTTTTAAATAATATGATTTACATTAATTGGCTTTCGAATCCTTCAATTATGAAATAAAAATATTAAAAATAAAATTCTTGAGAAAATATTATTTATATTTATATAATTAGCAAAATATTATTTATGTAATATTATCTATATTGATGATTATGATTATATGATTATATGATGATTATATTGTAATATGAAAAATGAGAAAAAGCTTAATCTATATATTTTTTCTATTTCAAAAAATTTTAATATTAATTAATATTCTCGATATATTATTGAATTTAATAAATGAATCTGAATAAATCTGAATATGAATATCTTTATTTTATATTACATTAATAATAATGTACATATGTTGCCATTTTTTTTTTTATCATATTTTATATTTCTGATATAGTCTTTTAATTTATAATATATATTTTAATTTATTTTAGCTGGAATATTGAAAAATTTTTATGGAATGAGAAATGCCTTATATTAACTTTTTAAAGATCAAAGTAACTTCGAAGTTGATGTTTTACATAATACGAGTTTTATTATTATTTAACCAAATGAAAATGTTTTTATCACAATTAAATAATACAACTTGAAAATTAAAACACGAAAATAATATACAATGTGACTAAAATATATTTAGAAAATATTCAAACTTACAAAATAAAAATTTTAAATTATAAATATGTGGTCAATCTATCAAAAACAAATAGAATATGTGATAGATAGAATATAATGATTCAATAAATGAAAAAAATTTCTTTAATCTATTTTAAAGATAAATGACAAGTAATTTATCAATATATAAAATGTATCTATATTGAATTATAATAAAATTTTTGTATTATTTTGAATAATTGTGAACAATAAAAGAGCGATAAGAAATATATATATATATATATATATATATTTATATATATTTTTTTCTATGTTCCTATGAATATGTGTATATATATATTTTATTGAAATCTGAATATATCTACTCACCACATTGACGAAATCCTGAAACGTTACCGCTTCAACACGTGATTCTTTTGCCCTAGTGAGAAGTATATCTCGTTTATTTGGTGGTATTTCAGCTTTCCATTCGGGACTTTTTAAAGCTGCTAAAAAATCCTCCACCGGTATCTCGCCAAAACCTTCGGGATCAAACTAAAGAAAAAATTCAGTTATGTTAACATATCGTGTAAGCTGATTTCCAAATAATAAATGTCGAATAATTCATAGACATACCTTATCAAACAGCATTCGCCATTTCTGTAATCAAATAAAAGAAATGGAAATATAAATTTTGATTTGATACGTTTATTTGATTCTTTTTAAATTTTTAAGAATATTAAAAAATTTAAATATATTTATTAATGTTATTAAATGAAACATAATTTGTTGCGTAAAGATTATATTAAAAATTTTTTTATATGTAATGTGTAAATGTATTTAAATTTTTGTTTTTCTAAAGATATTATAAATATAAACAACAAAATTATTTAGAAAAACATATATTTTTTTATTACAAATTTTTACTAATATAAAAATTTTAAATATAAATAAAATAAAAATTAATTAAATATTAAATTATCATTTATCATCTTCCAAATTTATCTACTTTACAAATCATCAATTTTATTCATTACAAATTCATTAAAAATTACAGAAATAATAA